GAATCGAACCCGGGACCTTTCAGTCCGCAGGCCGATGCTCTATCCACTGAGCCAAACCGGTCAGGGCTATCTATATATATATATATATTTTAAAGCATCTGCAAGCTCTGAGAGCCATCTTTGCAGATGTCCCACCCTGAGCACACTCAGCCGGCCATCGTTATGGTCCATCCTGCTTCCCTGCAGCTGAGGGGACGTCCGAGCCTCACAGAAGGAGGATCCTGCCACCAATCCGAGCATCAGCCCAGTGGGGATCTCAGCACCGACAGGGCCCAGCCGGGGCGAGCGGCTGGTTTGCAGCTGGAGCAGCCCTTTCCCACCTACTCCATGCAAACCAGGCTGCTGCTCCGGAAAACGAACGGATCAACTTCCTGCAGCCGGCACGGGGCCTCAGCTGGGGCCCTCGGGTGTGGAGATCCAGCGCCCTCTCGGCCTCCCTTCCATCCTCCTCCCCACACAGGCCCGCAGGCCCAGTCTGCGCCCCGCCTGCCTCTCTCAGAGCTCTCTTCCTGGCAGTGATAACCATCAGTCTGATAAAAAACAACAACAACAACTCCATCTTACGGGACAAGGAAACTGAGGCGCAGAGAGTGCTGTGAACTCAGCCAGAGGCCTGCTGGGCTGGGTTCCGGGGTGACTCAGAAGTGAGTTGGAATCGAGGTGCCACCTAGTGGCGTGTTGGTAAATGTCTGACAACCAGCTCTGATTTGTAGCGGCTGCCACTTCCTGTGGTGTAAATACGCCCACCACCGCCATTCAAAGCGGCTCACTGCCCTGGAGCCTCCGTGGGAGGGGCCTGAAGCCCAACACTCCTCCACCCCTGAACTCCAGGCTGGGTCTTGGCCAAGAGACTCCTCCTGTCTGAACCTCAGTTTCCCGTCTTAGCCAGCATGATGCCGGGCCCAGAGCGGGTACCCCCCAAATGATCGGTTTAGCAGCCTCCCAGGATTAACTGGTCGCTCCCTATGCGCCAGGCAACGATCCAAGCACCTCACTCAGATGTATCAGCTTCATTCCTTACAACCCTGGGGCTGGCTCTGCATTTGACAGATGAGGAAACCGAGGCCATAAGAAGTTAAAAAAAACCCAGCGGAGCCTCCCCCAGCTGTATGTGGACAAGGTGGGGTTGCCACCCAGGCAGCGTGGCCCCCCGGTCGGCACTCTCTGATGACTGTCCTATGACAGGGCGCATCCACACTAGCACACAGCAGACCCCCCCAATTTAGAACCACCCCAGGCCCTGCCCCTAAAGGATACTGGTCACCAAGAGGACGGTGCAGAGGCTGCAGAGGAGCAGGCGGAGCGGCCCGATCCACGGGGCCCCGGGCTGGGGCAGGCTCTTCATCCTCCAGGAGAGATAGAGCTGCAGCCAGAAGTAGACATGGCCGACGAAGAGGGCCAAGAAGGCGCCCGTCAGGTGCGTGGCCAGCTGGTTCTTTTGCTGGAAGGAGGAGGAGCAGGGAGAGGTGAGGGGAAGACCCCCTGCAGAGGCCAGGCCCCAGACCGACCCCATGCACAGTGATTGACACCTGCCACGCCCAATGATCGGGTCCCTGAGTACAAGCATCAGCTGTCCTCAGCTCTGGGAGGGCGGGCATTTAAATCTGTCCTTCACCGCTGGGGCCTCAATCCCTAAAACAGTGCCTGGCACATAGCAGAGGCTCAGGTATATGTTGGTGCAATAAATCTCTTCTTCTCATCCGGGGTTTGGGAGAGTAGGTGTTGCCGCCAAGGGGATAAAAATTGGTTTTTGGCCTTAACTGGTGTGGCTCAGTGGATAGAGCGTCAGCCTGCGGACTGAAGGGTCCCGGGTTCAATTCCGGTCAAGGGAACATGCCCGGGGTTATGGGCTGGATCTCCAGTAGGGGGCGTGCAGGAGGCAGCTAATCCATGATTCTCTCTCATCATTGATGTTTCTATCTCTCTCTCCCTCTCCCTTCCTCACTGAAAATCAATTAAAAAAATTTTTTTTTAAAGCGAGAGAGAATGCGTGAATGAACGGATGTGCAGATATGATGGGGGACATTTGCTGACAAGTTGGAGGGAGCCTCCAGTCCGACACCCTGTGGCTGGAAGCAGATATTGTAAAATGAAATGATAACGCTAAATCCATCAGTGGCATTTCTCCCATCGCGTGTGCATTCGTTTATTCTGCAAAGATCTACGGAGCTTCGCGGTTAGCAACGTGCGTTCCAGAGTCTATGAATCTGGGTTCATATCCGACCATGAAAAGCACCTCCCCGTGGGATCTGGCCGGGAAGGACCCGCCTGGAGTTCGTGTGCAGAGAAGGTACAGCCTGGGGCAAATTCCGCCAACGTGGCAAACATCAGAATGAGTGACTATCAGTCCTTTCATCACCGACGCGGCAGAGGACTACAGGGTGCAACCTCCCAGGGTGCAGCGGAATCACTAGAAAGCGCCTCCCACGCGGCGCTCCATTCAGACAGCCGCCCTAAGGAGTCACCCCGCACGCTCACGGCCCGAGAACCGCAAAGAAATACATGTCCCAGGAGGCTATGCGGCGCCGAGCTCCCCCGCAAAGAAGTAACTGGCCGCCCCAGAGGATGCTGGGAGTTGTAGTCCCAGATGGTAGCCGGCCGGCCCCCGGGGCTGGGCTCCAGGAGCCGACTTGGACTCACCTGGAAATTGCCCACCACGGAGGTGCCGAAGGCACAGAGGAGCCCTGACCAGAGGATCAGCTGGTTAAACCACTTCCCGACGCCCCAGTCCCGGAACTGGTGGTAACGGAGGATGCAGATCCAGGTGGCTGCGAGGAAAGGAAAGTGTGGGGGGTAGTGGGGGGTAGTGTGGCGCGGGAGAGGCTGGGGGTACAGGGGTGGGGGGCAAATCCCGGACTTAGGGGAGGAGGGGGTGGGGCCTGGGCTCCTGGGTCTGAGAGAGGAGGGGCTGGGGGCCTGGGCTCCTGGGTCTGAGAGAGGAGGGGCTGGGGGCCTGGGCTCCTGGGTCTGAGAGAGGAGGGGCTGGGGGCCTGGGCTCCTGGGTCTGAGAGAGGAGGGGCTGGGGGCCTGGGCTCCTGGGTCTGAGAGAGGAGGGGCTGGGGGCCTGGGCTCCTGGGTCTGAGAGAGGAGGGGCTGGGGGCCTGGGCTCCTGGGTCTGAGAGAGGAGGGGCTGGGGGCCTGGGCTCCTGGGTCTGAGAGAGGAGGGGCTGGGGGCCTGGGCTCCTGGGTCTGAGAGAGGAGGGGCTGGGGGCCTGGGCTCCTGGGTCTGAGAGAGGAGGGGCTGGGGGCCTGGGCTCCTGGGTCTGAGAGAGGAGGGGCTGGGGGCCTGGGCTCCTGGGTCTGAGAGAGGAGGGGCTGGGGGCCTGGGCTCCTGGGTCTGAGAGAGGAGGGGCTGGGGGCCTGGGCTCCTGGGTCTGAGAGAGGAGGGGCTGGGGGCCTGGGCTCCTGGGTCTGAGAGAGGAGGGGCTGGGGGCCTGGGCTCCTGGGTCTGAGAGAGGAGGGGCTGGGGGCCTGGGCTCCTGGGTCTGAGAGAGGAGGGGCTGGGGGCCTGGGCTCCTGGGTCTGAGAGAGGAGGGGCTGGGGGCCTGGGCTCCTGGGTCTGAGAGAGGAGGGGCTGGGGGCCTGGGCTCCTGGGTCTGAGAGAGGAGGGGCTGGGGGCCTGGGCTCCTGGGTCTGAGAGAGGAGGGGCTGGGGGCCTGGGCTCCTGGGTCTGAGAGAGGAGGGGCTGGGGGCCTGGGCTCCTGGGTCTGAGAGAGGAGGGGCTGGGGGCCTGGGCTCCTGGGTCTGAGAGAGGAGGGGCTGGGGGCCTGGGCTCCTGGGTCTGAGAGAGGAGGGGCTGGGGGCCTGGGCTCCTGGGTCTGAGGGAGGAGGCTGGGGGCCTAGCCTGCAGGGTGAGAGGGGGCGGCTCTGGGGCGAGGGGCTGGGCAGTTACCCATAGCAGCTCCCATGTTGAGCAGCTGGCTGAAGATGCAGCTCTGGGGCGGGAAGGATCCGCAGAGACTGGGGAAGATACGGGATCACCTGTGGCTCCACGGAGCCGGGACCCCCGTTCCGCCCTCTGGCTCCCCCAGGCGCCCTCACTACCTGATATAGGGGATGCCTTCCGTCAGGTTCACAGTCTTGTTGGCCACGGCGATTGCGAAACTGAAGGAGGGGAAGACATCCAATGAGCAGCTGCTTTCCAGGCAACTTTTCTTTCCGTTACCCAGAAACCAGACTGCCTCCTCCCTCCTCAGACCCAGGAGTCCAGGCCCCCAGCCCCTCCTCCCTCAGACCCAGGAGTCCAGGCCCCCAGCCCCTCCTCCCTCAGACCCAGGAGTCCAGGCCCCCAGCCCCTCCTCCCTCAGACCCAGGAGTCCAGGCCCCCAGCCCCTCCTCCCTCAGACCCAGGAGTCCAGGCCCCCAGCCCCTCCTCCCTCAGACCCAGGAGTCCAGGCCCCCAGCCCCTCCTCCCTCAGACCCAGGAGTCCAGGCCCCCAGCCCCTCCTCCCTCAGACCCAGGAGTCCAGGCCCCCAGCCCCTCCTCCCTCAGACCCAGGAGTCCAGGCCCCCAGCCCCTCCTCCCTCAGACCCAGGAGTCCAGGCCCCCAGCCCCTCCTCCCTCAGACCCAGGAGTCCGACCCCCAGCCTCCTCCTCCCTCAGACCCAGGAGTCCAGGCCCCCAGCCCCTCCTCCCTCAGACCCAGGAGTCCTGACTCCAGCCCCTCCTCCCTCAGACCCAGGCATCATCTACCCATAACACTCACACAGTCCAGATGCTGGTGGCAGCCCAGAGGGCCAGGAAGGCAGGCAGCAGGGCCAGATAGCCCCACATGCCCAGGGCTCTGCAAGGAAGACAGGGCCACTGATGAATCTCTCTTTCTCTCTCTCTCTGTCTCTGTGTCTGTGTCTGTGTGTCAGGAGGGTCCAGGCCTATCAGATCTTGGCTGCCTGCCTCTGAGGCCCCCATTGGCTCCCGGGCAGAAGGAAGGGCGGATGGGGTGGGGGGACTCCGGGAGGTGGGGTGTGGCCTGGTCAGGTGAGCCAGCTCTCAGCCTGGGCACTTCCCCTGCCGTTCAGATGCCCTTTAACCTTTATCCTCAGGTGTCTCCCAGCTGCCCTCCCCTCACCCGCCTTCAGAGTCTCACCCCTGCCAGCCTCTGCCCACCCCCACCCCCGCTTGCCCCCCACGATGCTCACCTGCTGGGCTCCAGCTCTCCGTCCCTCGGGGGCAACTGGGGCCACTGGGCGGTGTGAACGGCTCAGAGAGGAAACGCTGGGGATTGGGGGTGGGGCTTGGACAGTGGGCGGCTTTCAAAGAAAAGCAAAGTCCACGACGACCTGAGTGACGACCTGAGTGACGGGAGGAGAGTCTGGCTGCCACTGCGGAGGGACGTCACCCCCAAAGGGCCACTTCCGCCTGCTCAGAACCAGGCAGCTCCTCAGCATCTGGAGGCCCCCAACTTCCTTCCTCCCACTTTATAGGTTCCACATGCCAACCCCCAGCCCTCACCCTCCCCGGGACCTGCCAATCACCCGCCAATCGGAGCCTCCAGCTCTCTCTTCCTTTTGGGGGGGGGGGGGGGGGGGGGGGGAACCCAGACATCCAGGCCCCCAGGCCCTCCTGGAGCAAACGCTTTCCTTCCTATCCCGGGGGTCCCACTGCCCCGCTCCTACCGTCTAGGGGACCCAGAATCCAGGCCCGCAGGTCCACGCCCTTTCCAAGGGCACTTCTGTGGGCGGGCTGCTGGCTCTGGGCCCATGACCCCGCCTCCTCCCCAGCTGCTGACCCCCCTCCCTGCTCTCCCTTCCTCCCGGAGGGCCGAGGGCCGGGTGCCCCAGCCGGCAGGGCCTGGGTGGGAGGGAGGGAGACCTCGGTGATGACATCTCCATCTGAGAGCCTTCCCAGAAAGCAGCTGCTTCCTCCACTTCTGCGCCCACAGGCAGCCCTGCACTTTCCCGCTCCTTTCTACCCCCCCCCCTATCTTGGGTGTTGGGGTCCCAGCCTCCACCCGCTTCCCCAGACCCAGGAGTCCTGGCCCCCAGCCTCCTCCTCCCTCAGACCCAGGAGTCCAGACCCCCAGCCCCTCCTCCCTCAGACCCAGCTGTGGACGAAAGGGGCCACATGCTGACCTGACAGGCTCAGGGGAGGCCTGCATGGCGGTCTTGCAGACTCAGAGACCTAAAGTCACCACAAAGGATGGTCTGAAATGAAACTTTAACTAAAAGCAGTGATGGTGGGCAGTTACGTCCTAGGCCGGTATCTTCACTGACAAGGTCAACCTTTACCTTCACTGA